GGCCCTGACACATCCCAGCCCTCCCCCCATCCCCAGTCTCCATCGGCCTCATCCCGGTCCCGGTCATCCCAATCCCCATCCTATCCCTTTCCCAGTCCCCATCTCATTCCTCCCTCATCCCTAACGTCTTGCCCTTCCCCATCATCCCTGTCCCCTAGCTCTAGTCCCTTCCCCGTCTGCATTCCCCGTTCTCCCCATCCCCTGTCCCTATCATCCCAATCCCCAATCTCTATCCCCACCCCATCCTCTTCCCAATCCCCATCGGTTTCCCCATCATCTCTATTCATCCCCAATTCCCATCCCCTTCCCAATTGGCTATCTCTATCCCCATCCCCTTGACCTTCCCCATCATCCATACCCCTAGCTCTATTCCCTTCCCAATCCCCATCCCCAATCCCTTTGACCTTCCCCATCATCCCTACCCATAGCTCTATTCCCTTTCCAATCCCCATTCACATCATCCCCATCCCAGTCACCCCAATCCCCATCATCCCCATCCCAGCAGAGCCCAGAGCTGACACATCTCCAACTCCAGCTCTATTCCCATCACAGCAGCACAGAATGGGGCTGTGTTAGACAAATCCTCCCACTGAACCATCTCCATCCTCTGCCAGGATGGGATAGGACTGGGGGCACATTCCCAACCCCCTGTGGTGCCTCAGAGTGGGTTCAGTGTCACTTCTTAGCACAGGTGACCCAAATCCCAGGTGTCCCGAGGAGCCTGTGGTGTTCACTGTGGGGCTCAGACAACACAGGTGTATTCCCAACAGAAGCAGTGCCTTGGGGCAAAGAGTCTTGGGTTTGTTTTTCAGAAGCATTTTACAGCAAAAATTTACTGATAAATTCTTTTTAATTACTACAGAATTAATACTTCTAAGGGGCTGTGTTTTCTGGGTGATTTAGGGTGGATGTACTTGTTAATTTGGGTGATAATAATTGTGTTAAATGCTGGATGCATGGAAAGCTGCTCCAATTTACAGTGGGACGTTGTCTCAGAGACACATTTTGCTAGAAGCAGATTTGCTCCCCAGCTCCAGCTCACACCTGGCCTCCCTACCACCACACCAGGATGAGGTCCTGGTGCTGGGAGTGATCCCACTGCTTCTCCCCCTGCCTCTACTCCCATCACCCTACAGGTACCACAGGGCAACAGGAACAGAGGCCACCACACTTGGACACCTCCACCAGGACAGGTGGTGTGCAAAACTCCCCTTTAAATCCCCTTCATCCCATAAACATCAGCCCCAGAGCTGGCAGAGTCCTCCAGAGTCCTCCTGCTCCCCCCCAGCCAGGTGCTCCCCACAGGTCTCACAAAACTCTGTCACCATCCAGAGGCCCAAAGGGTATTTATTAAGTATTTATTATAATTTCTCTCTAGCTGGTTTCTCTACGTAGCTGTATTAACATATACTAACACAGTTATCTTATATACAGTGTTTAATCAAGTTATAAAAGTGACATTCTTTCAAAAGGTGCAAAGTTATTCATGTTTGGACACGTAAACTACTGAGGCGAAATCTGCATCGAAAATAAACCTTTTGGACTTGGAGAGCATTAGGAATTCCAGGGCTGGCCAAGCATAGCCGTGTGTGCAGCACAGCAAAAGGGTCCTGGAAGTGTTGCCAATGAGGAACAATAAATTAGGAGAATGAGTTTGGAACTAACCTGGAATTTGACTAAAAGCTTTACACTAGAGGAAGGGGAGAAGGGGGTGAAGATGGAACTAATGAAGAGTTCTTACTTTGGAAATGTTCCCAGTTTCTTTTTTTTATATATCCCATGAAGATTCTCTACTGAAGTTGGGATTAAACACGTTGGTACAATTTTTTTTTCATGCTTTCACATAATGACAAGGCTGAGGTGTTTGGATTTAAATCCTAGCGCAGACGAGAGGGAGAGCTAACCTGTACACCTCCTCTTACACACACAACATCTGGAGCAATTACTGTACAGCTTTTCCCATTCAGGCAATTTCTATGCATTGTTTTAAAAACACTACTCCAGCATTAAACATACTATGTAGTTTAAGCAAGGTTTCAACTCCCATGAGATGTTAAACTGGCCTATATGTGAATCCTTTCAGTCCTCACCTAACCAAGGGTTCCCTACGCTGCTTGCAGCCAGTTTGGAAAGGGGTTGCAGTGCCTGGCACAGTCATTAAAGTTCACTTTTTTATCAAAACTATTTTTATGCTGTCCCATGGGGATCAGCAAAGTCTTTTTAGAAGGGTTTGTGCTCTCACCAGGCACAGACACGACCTCACTGCCTGCACTGTGTCACCAAGTCCAGCTCAGGAGGCCTCAGGACATGCAGAACACAAGGTACAAATGTTGGCAACACAATCAAGTCACCACAAACTCGTTTTGAATTAGGCCTTTCTACTGCCTCGAAGTTTTACAGCTTCTCTTATTTTTTCCAGTGAAGACAACAACTAAATTTCCCCCAAATTTAATGATTAGATGTATGATAGGATAGAAAAATGTTTCTCTAGGAACATGTTAATTTCCTTCTGCTTTTTAATCCTGTGTCTGGGAGAGAAGCACTTCAAAAATCTACCCTCTGTAGATGTTCTGGACATAAGTCAGACCAGTACTTCCCTGAACTCCTCATGTTGCTGGCACTTAACACCAGCAACTTCCAAACTACTGCAAACTTCCCAGCAGTGCAGCCACTCTACATTTCCACCTGGTTACTCAGTTAAAAACTTCCATAAAAGAAGCAACATTAAGATTAGTTTTAATTACTGGATCTAATTTTTCAAGCTTCTCTCCCCTCTGAAATGTATCACTTGAAAGAAAATGAGTGCATCAGTTCAGGAACTGATTATTTCCAGTACTATATGGTTTTGATATGGAACAAAAAAATTCCTACTTTTTGGACATCACGTGCTCACAGAAAACTTGTAATAGGTATAACTCTGCCAAAGCTTTAAATTGATTCTGCTTTTTCACAACATACAAAACCAGACATGACCTAATAATGAAAAACATGCAAACCAAAACCTCCCCAAAACATGAACCTGTGTGGATATACACACGGAAGTGCTTCCAAAGGAAAGTTTAGTCTAGAAGCATACACAGTGCCAAAGCTGCCAAAGGTAGTGCAAGAAGAGTTAAGCCTCCAAGAGGGAGCAAGCAATATATTGTACATTGTAACCACCTCCACATTCCTGATTCCATCTCCTATTTTAAGGACAGCATTTGACTCCAGGAAAAAGCACATTGGGAATGTGCTCTTCCCTTCTCCTAAGGTATGCTTTATGGGATTTATCACAGGTAGACAGTTTAATGCTCACAGTGTCCCGAAGTTGTGAAGACTCTGTAACAGACAACTACAGTGTGAGAAGCTCAGGTTGGGTTTTGTTTCCACAAGTCTCTCAGCTCTATTTTAAGGACAGCATTTGACTCCAGGAAAAAGCACATTGGGAATGTGCTCTTCCCTTCTCCTAAGGTATGCTTTATGGGATTTATCACAGGTAGACAGTTTAATGCTCACAGTGTCCCGAAGTTGTGAAGACTCTGTAACAGACAACTACAGTGTGAGAAGCTCAGGTTGGGTTTTGTTTCCACAAGTCTCTCAGCTGTGGAATTGCTGTGAGCTGGGGCTGGGAGCTCCCATCCCCATGGAGTGCTACATACCACACAGGAGGTCACACCTGCATCTCAGGGGAGTATCACAGGACAAGGTTTGATCCTGCTGGTACCATATTGGCTTTTCATCCCTGCTCCGAGTTCCAAACACTTCAGGTTCTTGGCTATTGTACTAAGTAACAAGGATATTATCTCTACTTAAGTTACATAGTTTTCAAGGATGTTATGTGCTCTAGGGATACAGAGTATCCTCCTGACAGAGAAACTAGGGGGGGACAATGAAGAACCAAAGGTCCCTTTGAAAATTAGTGAGAACATGACGACTTCAGGTGTAGCTTTTATGGAATGAGCTCAGCAGTGTTTAAATATTTGGCAATCCAACGTTAGTGATCATTAAATTCTTGATTGTTGGCTGACAGAATTTTTGTTAAAACTTACTTAGAAAAGCTGGTTTTTGCTATCAACAAAACCAGAGGAACTGGCTTGGAATGAAATCTAGTGACTAGATGTCCAGATGAGATGAGCAGTTGGTTCTGTAATTTCAGTATATGTCTGGACAGTCTGAGAAATTCCTATCAAAATAGCCACCTGAGTACAGCCAATCTGCAGTCCCAGTGTAGGGGTTAGTGCCTTGATGAAACCATCTGTAAAAGACACAAGAGAAAGAAAAGGGTAGAAGCAATAAAAGAGAAAAGCAAACAGTGAACAGTTATTAACAGAGGAAAAAAACCCAAAACCCAACTTTGCATCTCTCACAAAACATTTTAAGAACACACTGGTATTTCTTATCAGAAAAACAAAATAATCCCAGGGAATACTCTGAACATGAAAAACAAGGCATTAAACTTCCTACACAACTATCACCACCTTGTAAAGCATCTTTTTTTCCTTTACATAAAGTCAGGGAGGAGTAATGTAATGTAATGTAATGAATTTTAAACTCGCTGTCCTATTCCAAATAACACTTGATACACTAAATTATATATATTAATCTTTGCTTTAAAACAATGCCAAATCCATTACACAATCCTTTTGGTAAACTTGTCCAAGGAGAAAACAGTTCTGCTGCACAGAGCTGTGCTCTGCACAGAACACCAACAGCTGCTCACCCTTTAGCCACGTTGACTGAAAACAATTTTTTGTTCTCTGGAAGAGCTTTTCAAAGGCATTCACTGGAATTAGTCCATAGCTGCTCCTCCAGGCTTTAGGAAGAGAATGTTTTCTCTTCTGAATTTCATGAAAGCATGGGAGCATCCCAAAGTTCTTGCCTTTGAAGGAAGCACCTGCAGTGACTGGCTGTGAGCACTTGACAGCACAGCACTGGCAGCTGTGAAAAGCAACCTGTGGGAGCAGCAGCCAAATCACACATCACTCCCTGCTGCACTCTCTGACTGAGAAGTCGCTTGAATATGGAATCAAAAAAGCAATTTCTGAAGCATCCAAGTCAAGAAATCCAAAAACTGTGAAAATAAAAGGCCCTAGAGAGCCATAACATCTCACTCAACTGCCAAAAGCTGGACAGGAATAGGTTAAAGGAGAGATGAGACTTAACATTTTATTCATTCTAACAAAACTATGACCCTCTGTAGGTTAAAAATACGTAACTAAATGCAGCATTACCACAGTACTTCACTATGACAGGTTTCAGCATTTATTACTGGCTAATTTATCCAGGACAGAGTTATCAGCAATTCTGGCTTCCAGCTACATATTTAATTGTTGACCCAGCAATGCTTTAAGTGACACTACAAATTGTGCTGTCATGGAGGAAATCAAACACATGCTGCCTTGAATGAAAACGATTCAAGCAGCAGAGCTAACCATTCCAAGCCCTAAACAAATGCCCAACTCCCTCCCCCCTTACCGTGTGTGCCACTCCACTTGGTCCTTCGCACGCTCCTTGCGAGCAGCTCTTTGTTTCTCCTCTAGTCTCTCTTTCTCTTTGCTTGCTGCATCTAACCAATGGTTCAAGAGAAATTGGTTACTTAGCAAAACAGGAGCGAAAAATGCAGAAAACACAGAAAAGACTGCAGAGAAATGACATATAGTTTGTTTAAACATGAGCAAGTGTTTTCTGTACACAGTCACAGGCAACGAAAACCTCAGACTGGCACTTCAGAAAAGTCACTGCTACAAAAAGAGAGTTGAAACTGAAATGTTGGTGTTTTATCTAGCAGAAACACTCCACTGGGACAGCAGGAAAGAACTCAGATTAGGCATAAAAGCGAGAGTGATTTTTTTCACTATTTAGCCATGTGTTCTTTCTGACAAACACCAGAGCAACGGAGCACGTCTGCTCACCACATGTCTTCCCAGACAAACTCCAGAGCAAGTGAGCATGTCTGCCAGCTCCCCCCAAGCTAAGGAACATGCAAACACACTGTAACACAGGCTAACAGCCCTGGGATCCACCTTGGATGCATTTGCTCTCCCAGACTTCTCCAGGATTAAAACAGACATCATACACTGTGCAAAAAAAGCATGTTCAGTGCGCAGGATGAAAAAGAGTTAAGGCTGCTCTGGGAATGAGAAACTGAAGACAGTGTTTCCTGCATCTGCCTCCCTGTGGTTATCCCTCTCCAAAGTTACTGATGTCCCTGCAGCAAACACCTACCCATGTTCCCATTCTCCATGTGCCTGATATCCGGGCGTAGCCGACAGTCAGTGGGAGCCAATATTGCTTCCATGCCCTTTTCCAGCTCATTGAGACTCACAGCAAAACTGGTGAAGTTGTACATCTTAAAAGGAAATGAAAGATAACACACAGATTATTAGTGGCACTGGATTCCCCATAGCAAATGGATACAACAGAACTTCCAAGGGAAAGTGCCAAGCCAAACCTTCTCCCACTGATTACCCCAAAGGCAAGGTTAGGCTCATAAAACATGAGTTGGTTTCTTGTTGGAGGGAAGGGACAAGGAAGAGCAGATGGGGATGGAAATCACAGCTTTCATTTTTTAAGCAGCCTTTGCTTCAGAGGATTAAGACAGATTTTCCTCCACAACTGATACTTAACATCATGATTTTTATGAAAAAAACAAAACAAAACAAACCACCCACACTTACAAGACCAAAAATGCTTGTTGAAACTGTGGAAGTTAATATCCAGCAGCCCAGTCACTGCACTCTGTGGCAGTCTTTTAACAGCAGGGTCAGCAGAAGGGAATGTGTATCCATGTTTTAGCCACTCCAAGTGCAGAGATCTCACAGACAGGATAACCTAAGACTCCAGACTCCCAGCTGGACTCAGAGCACACATTCCTTCTGCTGGCTTAGACACTGCAGCACAGGACTGAAGCAGAGAACTTGCTGGAGCATAATTTCTCTGCTGCAGCAAGAACTGCCAGAGCCTGTCCATATACTAAGGACACACTGCAACAAGGTTCCCTTGGCCATTACTCATCTTCCCTTGGATAAGTCACTGGCAATAAGCAATGCATAGCCTGATGGAAACAGTTACCTGTGATGAGTTTGGTGGCCTACAATTTATTCTCCAAAGCAATTTACTGCCTGGTATGAACTGCACTGTGTCTTGAATCTCTGGCATATCATCAGCCACATCATTTTCAGATTTAATAACATCTTCACTCTGAAACAGAGAGAACATTTGGCAGGGGAACAAAGGAACATTGGATGGTTTCATCTAGAATCCTACAGTGACTCCTGAATCTGTTCAAATGTGAGCTACTAAATGCTCTCCTGTACTTCTGCCTCCTCCCCTTGTTTGCTTTTCCTCACTCTGTATATTGTCCCTCTCATTTTTATCGTGTCTTGCTCCTCATATCTCTGCATAGTCTCCCAGCACCTAAGTACAACCTGAATGCCTGTTTTAAAAAACTAAATCAATAATAGTAATAACAGCAAATTAATGTCTTTCCGAAGTGTTTTCCTTAGCTTCCCTTCTACCCTATGCCACAGCTTAATTTCACCTAACATGACCATAACTTTTTCAGGTTGAAGTGAGCCAAGACTGCAATTTAAACCAGTTCCCAATAATGGCCCAAGAGTCATAAACAGAGCACGTGGGTATTGCCTCATCACTTGCAAAAGATTTAGATGTGTGATTAAAAACAGACAGGCCCTTGTTTCAGCCTGATTTCCTACGATCCAGACTCTAATCACTATTATCACTGCCAGTTTTCTCACTATGAAGACAGTGTACTTCAGTTTATGAATACAGTGTCTTTCCCTCAGAGTTCCTTTGTTACTCATGCACTGCTGCAATGCATATATAAAAATCCAATGCAGTGTTCCTCAGCTGCTCTCACAGCCTGAGAGAATCTGAATGGTATAGGACACAGACAGCTACACTGCAGAATTTTAGGGGATTTCACTGTTAGAAACCATTTAAAACCACAACAACCAGAAGGGAAGTCTGAGGAAATAACATCCTGGAGTGAGAGTATCAGAATTTTCCTCACTCCCACCTCCTTTTTATTTTCTTTCTGCCCTCTCTGACATGGCTCATTTATTTTATTCAAAAATACCCTATTAAGTTAAACAGGGCCTGGTTTGTACACTGGAAAACAGCTCCATATGGTTACGAGTCTAATTTCAATCATTTGGTTTGAGTATTCATTATTTAAAAAGACACTTCTAGGCTACTTTCCATGTCAACATCTGGTTTACTGTTAGACAGTTCCCCATCTAAATATAGACTCAACAGGAAGGAAGGAAAGAAAGAGTTGATTTTCTTAAGATGAACAGAACCTTTTTATTTAATTAAAAAAAAAGAAGTCAAAACATAAGCCTGTACCATGATGGAATCCAGAGCCAAGAGCAAGGCCTGTCACTGCTCTAGATTCCTCTGATGTGAATACTTTTAAAGTTTGAGCCTCTTCATGTTAAGAGTGATTAGCTTCTGTTTAACTTTTCATTCTCACAGAGCAACCAGGACCTGCAAGATCCTGTTGATATCAGGAAACCAAACAGTGCTGCACCACTCAACATTTTCCATTTAGCTCTGAGGCTTTGGTAGAAATTTACCTGACACTGCTTACATGTGAGGAAAACACCCTGTGTGTTTCCAGAGCTCTTTGTTGTCAAGGCTATGTCATAAATTCTGAAAGGTTGCATCACCAAAAAAGCACATCTGACTTTAAAAAATATATAGTTTTCTTTTTTACTGCCCAAATCTGCAGTGACAGGACAAAGGGCAATGGGTACAAATTAAAAGAGGGCAAATTTAGGTTCGATATTAGGAAGTATTTCCTGTGAGGGTGGTGAGACACTGGCACAGGTTGCCCAGGGAGGCTGTGGCTGGCCCCACCCTGGCAATGGTTGAAGTCAGGTTGGAGAAAGCCTTGAGCAACCTGCTCTGGTGGGAGGTGTCCCTGCCCAGGGCAGGGGTTTGGGGCTGGATGATCTCTAAGGTCCATCCCAACCCCTAAAATTCTATGATTCTATGAAATCCTAGTGTTTTTACTCCTGGAGTTGACAGTAGAGCCACCTTCCTCATTCAAGGACTGGACAACATCAGCTTGGAGGTTGATATTTGATGACTTCTCTCTGACAAATCTCTAGCAAACACCATTCCCTACAAGCTCTGCTCCATGCCAGCAGCTCACACTGCAGTCTGCACAAACTCAAAGTGCCAAGTTCCCTCTCAGTGACTGCATCCAACCCCTACCCCAGCACAGACAGTTTTAACCCCCCATTCACCACCTGACCATTTCCCTGAGTAATGTATTTCGCTTTCATTTCTGATACTTTAGTCTCTTTTCTCCCTGGAGAATCCTTCACCTTACCGACTTCTTCTTCTGCTCACCACCTCTCCTCTCATTCTTCTTGTAAGTCTCATACGTGGTGGGGTCAGTGCACCACAAACATTCTGTCCACTTGCCATAGATCACACACAGCTTCTTTCTGCTGCAGAGAGAGCAAAGGAGACTGAGCTCTTGCTTCTTATCGAGCCTTCAAAAGCCCAGTCATGCAGATTCTGATCTGTGTTAAATCCTCAGCTCTCTACTTTGCTGCATTTTGTGTTTCTATTTGCAGATTTCACAGAATCACAGAATGGGTGATTCTCAGAAGCCAAATATTGGATAGTGCAAAGAAAAGGTTACAGCTCATTCCAGTCTTCCAGGCACTCAGCCCTGCAGAACACATCCTCATGACAGTCACATGCTTTTCCCACTGCTCAAAGGAGTGTGGGTGCATCAAAGCCAACAGTTCATAATACAGAGACTCAGAGTCACAAAACAGGTTTGGGTTAATTAAAAACTTCTAATAACCATATTCTCATTATTTTAAACTGGAGACTGGAATTATGACTGTGCAACTGTGACATCAGTTGCAACTACTCTGCATTTTCCCTGGATACCTTTATTTCCAAGCTTGGACTGGAGAGTTTTTCTCCTAATGCTTAAAATGATCATCCTAGAATCAAGGGGTTTAGTACTAACACAGAGCAAAAATGGGTTACTCTCTGCACTGGTAGCAACTTTGCAGTCACATCATCACTGTGATCACTGTGTCACGTGCCAGCACAAGAAATGCCCCAGTGCTCAGAAATGGAGAGGCCAAGAGGTTTTACCACTTACTTTTTGTCCTGAATGTATCCCTCTACTCTGTGAAGCTCCTTCCCAAACAGTCCACATGGTTTAAAGTTAAGGACACATTTATCTCCAGTACTGTAGAGGAAATAAGTACAAGCTTAAAGAAGCAAACCCCTAAATACATCAGTAAGTTTACTTTTTTTACCTTCTTTAGCTTTTTTCATCTATAGTTACAGTTAGCTAGTTATTTTCACCACTGTTTTTCTTTAACTTTGGTTTAGTATCTGACCAGGCCATTAAAAGAGCCCACAAATTTCACACAGAACAGAGGAATAAAAAAAAAGAAATCAAAGTGCACATGATGACATCAACCTCTAAAAGAAACTGAAAATATGACCATATACCCCTCAGTTTCATGTATGTCTAAAATATGATCTCAAAGTGCTAGGAACAAAACAGGATGCAGTCTTGATTACTCCTTAACTACACTATGAACACAACATACTCCAGATTAATATCTGTACAATTGTAACGAGAAGCAACTTTTACAAGTGACCTACACAAAAACCTAATTAAGAGCATTCCCATATCAAAAATTCTGCACCAAACATGCTACAAAGAGAAAACAGCATTGTATTTCAGCATCTTCCTTGCACTGAGATGTGAGTAAACTCTCTCAGTGAGGTACCAGGTTGTGTCTGTGTGTCAAGCACAAACACACAGAGACCATCCTGGGTCCTTTGTGCACACACAGGAGACAGGATTGGAGATCTGATGCTGTGAGAAGCATCTAAACAGCAGCTTGTTGGGTTAAAGCTCCTTTTTATTGACGTGTGCAGAAGTAATACTTCTCACAAAATTCTCTCCCTCATTGTTTAAGAGGGAATTAATTTTATGTGAGGTAAAAAAGCTTTTATACAGGCAGTTGGCACAGCAATTGACATGCTCTGAGCTCACATTTCCCTACTCTGCACTCATTTTTCTGTGCTGTGTCTTTAATTTAAGACATTCTCTATCAACATAACTAAAAAAGTGACAGATCACAATCAACATGATGGAGCTCCACTCCAAGCCTCTGACAATTATCTCATTTTGTGGTTCTGGAGTTACATTTAATTTCTGTTTTCTGTAAAAAGGGGCTGAATTTGAATGGGTAACTCAGAAATCTAAAACCTTTGCACCCCATAAGCCTTGTGGTCTTGTGCCTTTTCATTAAAAGCATCATGACAGCAAGCCCAGTCCAAGGAAGAGTTTAAAATGGTCAGGAGGAAAAGGAAAATAAACACACAAAGACAAAAAAAAAAACCCCACAAGACTTTGGAGCTACAAAACAAAGCTTCCTGTGTGTCTGACCAAACTCTAAACAATCTGCTTTGCAACACAAGTGAGCACAGAGCATTCCCCACGAGCCAACCCTCAGGTCTGTGATGAACATTACCTGTGATTAACGATTTCCACTGTTCCATACTGTTCCAACCAGAGTTTCCCAATAATTACATTATGTACACAACAGGTTGGATTTGTCCATGTGTAAGCTTCATTGTGTCTGTAAAGAAAAGAGAGAAAGGAATCATTTCCTCAAGCCTGAGATGGAATGTGAGCCTGTTTTCAATTCTGCTCATGGCAGGGCAAAATATTTAGCACTCCTCTGCACAGCCAGCACTCAACTTCAAAACAGAAGAGAAACAGACTTTTCTTTACAAGCCAACAATGTGTTGTATCCAAACATTACTGCAAGTTAATAAAGTGATATTGCCTTCATTTTTCTCCCTTCTCACGTAAATCTTACAGTTGCTGTGCTTTGGATTACAAATTCCAGCCCAACATAAACAGCAGTGCAGGAACTCACCTTTTTCATTTGCACTTTTAAAGTTGTATGTGATAAAACATAACACTTGCAGGAGAACCAGACTGATAAACTAATGCCCAGTAGTGTCTTTTATTCACCTGCTGCAGCAGCAGTAAATTGTATAAGTGGTTTCCATAAATACACCATAAGTTTCCACACTGGGATATGACTCCTGTTCAGTGCCACTGAAGGCAATTTAGGGAGGTGTGAGTGTTGTTTTTACCCTTCTTTAGTTTGTTTAACACCAATGGGACATGACAACACTATTTCAAGCTTCACAAACATGACATTTAAAAATTCAGTTTACTACTCATTTCTATCCTTTCCCCAAAGATTTAGTGAGAAGTCCTAGAATTGAATAATTTTGCACTCGGTTTCATTTTTGGTTTAATGTTTTGTGAAAACTTTAAAGATGAGTTAACAGATTCTAAATACTTCGAAGATATTATTCTGTAAGTGGTGAAAAGGTTAAACAACAGGATTCCTATTATCACCAGCAGAGTCAAAACTATCTACCCTCAGTCATCTTTCTGTGCTGGTACAAAAAATGCTGTTACCTGGCTGGCAATCAATCCATCTTAGGAAAGCTTGCAGATTCTATTTTAATACCAAAAAAAATACAGAAACAAGCAGTGTTCTCTGTAACAAATGTCTTGTACTTCTCCTTCCAGTAAGTACAGAGAGAACACTCCTATTTAATGTTTCCAACCTGTCTGTCACTTTCCAGTACAGAGAAATAACAGATCATTGAAGTTTGACAGATTTCCACAGCTCCTTTTCTCCAAGCATCCTTTAGAACAATGACTACTCTTCAAGTGGGGAAAAAGCACCAGAACCCCTCAATTCATCCCACCAGCCTTAGCAGAGATTTACTCCTGAACTACTCGACACCAAAAGCTGTACAGCATCAACTAAAACACAACACAAAGGCACTTATGGCCAGTGTGGATAAATTGAAACACTGTGTGTGCAGGAAAAGTGAGGCAGAAGTGTCTTCCAGTGCACATTTTGAAAACATAGGCATGGTTCACATCAAGGCACAATTTAACACTGACTCACAGCTTTGCTTCCCAAACAGTTCCTTGTTCACTCGGGCCCTGAGCAGTTCCCAGACTCCTCAATCAACAGAACAGTCTGAATCACAACACTGAGAGGCTCAAAATTTGACTTCCATTTCTGCTGCAAGCTTGAAGCAATTACTTAAAATAAATGCTTTAATTGCTTATATTCCAGTTTAAGTCTGAGCCCTGTAATTTGATTAGGCTGAGCCAGAATTTTAATAGTCTTCTAAATAAAGCTCTCGAGCAGATGTTATTTTGGTCACGTTGCATTCTGCACTGACATTCACAGTTCCTTCTACATTCACAAGAATTTTCCTCTATTTCCATCATCATTTATATCCAAGATCAGTTCATACTTTTATAAGCTCTGGAAGATTAGATGCCAGCAGCCCAAAACTGAAAATCTACTTCCAAAAGGAAGCCCAGGAAAAGTCAATGCTTGATGTGGCAGCAAGTTGGATCTCTATTGAAACCAGATGTCTAGAAATTTCTTGAGATGACATTTCAAAACCAACTCAGTTAGGCCTCAACAAAGCCTTTATAAAAGCACCTTGAAGTGTTCAATTGAAGAATACTCTTTCTGCAATGATTCCAGCTCATCCTCGTGTCCCACTTGGGAAAGCTCCAGAGGGTTTGTGCCACCAGGGCACACAACAACTTATGGGAAGTCACAGAATTTCTGAGAGACAAGCCTGGGTGTAATTTGGAGAGGAATTTGTGATTTCAGTAGGAAGGTGATCCTGCTCAGGAAGTGTTACGGCAATCCTGACAAGTTTCTCACATTCCCTTACCACACAGAACAGCTAGAGTGAAGATGTAGTTCTTTCCACACAAACATAGACACAAAACAACCAAAATCAAGACCAGTATTTAAAGCTGAGAAAAGCCTGAACAGCCTTGGTAATAGAATTTTACCTTTATATTTGAATTTCACATGCCTTCACAGCACTAGCTTTCAGTAACACTCAACCTTTTAGAAATGCTAATTCTCATAGTGGAAAAAACTGGGTCAAATTGCTACAGCTATGCAAGCACGACATGACAAAAACAGAGCCCTGGCATTAAGCAATGAAAATTAACCTGCAAATCAATCCTTACAACCTCTTC